ACAAAAATTGTCGTCTCTACGATTCATTCTACTGTGTTTGTTCTAGAATATTTGATAAATCTATCTTTTGAAAAGGGCAAATTTCCAAGCTGTCTCAAAATCGCCAAGGTAATTCCTATTGAAAAAATTAAAGGAAAAACAGATTTATCAAATTTTCGCCCTATATCACTCTTGCCAGCATTTTCAAAAATACTTGAAAAACTAATGCACCAACGAATGACTAGTTTTTTGCAAAAAAATAATATTTTGTCAAATTCCCAATTTGGTTTCAGAGAGAAATTTTCTACAGAATTAGCAATCGTAGAACTAGTTCGCAAGATTGGCATCAATACTGAATGTAAGAGATTTGTCATTGGAACGTGCTTAGATCTGTCGAAAGCATTTGATTGCATCAACCACGACATCATGCTCAACAAGTTGGAAAAGTACGGTTTTAGAAATACATCATTGCATTGGTTTCGTAGCTACTTAACAGAAAGAAAACAATTTGTCTATGTGAACGATGAAATTTCCAGTCTGCTCGGAAACAACAACGGTGTGCCTCAAGGAAGCATCCTAGGTCCTTTGTTATTTATATTGTACATAAACGATCTTTCAGCTGCATCAGCGTTTTTTGACTACGTAATTTATGCTGATGACACGAATGTTTTTAGCAGCGGCAGATCAATGAAAGAACTTATTGAGGAAACAAACAGAGAGTTAAAAAACATAATCTCTTGGTTCGAAGCCAATAAACTTTCAATTAACAGTTCAAAAAGCCAAATGATGGTTTTTGGACCCGTACAATATCTAAATTACAAGGAGCCGTATAAAATCATCCTAGTTAACAACACAATTGTTGAAACAAAGTGTTTAAAACTTCTAGGCATGCAGCTCGATCAGAAACTCTCCTTCAAACATCACATAAAACAAGTATCATCCAAACTTTCAAAGTCAATAGGAATGATAAACAGAGTAAAATCATTTTTGCCAAAAAACTGTTTGAATCTTCTGTATAATTCCCTGTGCATTCCGTTAATAAACTACTGCAACATTGTATGGGCTTCATCGTACCACACATCAACCTTACCAATAGAAATATTAATCAAAAGAGCAGTTAGATTGATAACGAGATCCAAACGATTTGAACACAGCCAACCACTGTTCAACAGCACGCGAAACTTGAATTTCTCGAAACTCAGCATTTACTTTCTGATGATTTTTGTTTATAAACAGTTAACCAATCGATTACCTGATTTATT